TTTTTTTTTTAAAAAGTAATTCTATAGTGATAAAAGATTGAAAAAACGAATTTTGATGACAATGGCAAAATCAAGTCTGTAGAAATTTGGACATGAGGGTGCCTTCGTTGCATTCAATTTATTTTAGTAATGAATAATTCTAAATTAAAATCTAATTATACAGAGTGATAGAAAACTCCACGGGCTTTCAGAATATGTCGTTACTTTTTAAAAAGTATGTTCTTTTGGTAACTCTATCCTCAAAAATACCGACGAAAGCTTATGTTTTCCAGGGATGTGTATAATAAAAGCAAAATTGAATAAAAAAACTAGCTTTTATAGACACTATAGTTTTACATGCTCTTTCAAAGAAAAAAAATATTTGACTTTATATCACGTTGTGGTAGAGTGCCGCTGGAGATGCTCATCAAACTTACGTTCTGAGAAAAACGAAAAATGACTTTCGATTTTTTTGTAAAAACAGCTCGTTTTTCGAGCAGAGAGTGAGAAAAATCTTCCAAAATTTTTGGAAAAAAAGGAGATGTCAGATAAAATTTTTTGTCGCGTATGAGAGAGCAGATGACGGGCTATTTCTTCATGAATTTATCTCAATTTCGAACGTTCTGGTGAAAATTGACTTTTTTGAGGGTGGCAGGCCTTAAAAGAAAAAAACTAATGAAATTCAATTCTCTATAAATGTTGTGAAGTCTCTCAAAAAATTACACTCAGATAAAACGCTATTCTTTTGTTGATCGTTCATTTACTGCCTTTTCTAACATTGATGTGAATCCGTGTACTACAAATTAATGTTATCATTTTGTAGCGATTACTTGATCTACTACTAAAAAAAGAGATTCATGATAAATACCTGTCCTAGTCGTCATATGTTTGCACCGTCTGAAGTCGATGCTTACATGTTCGTTTTATATTTTTGAGCCTGTTCTGTTACTAGTGATTGTAAAGATAACATGAATGCTATATCAAACGATAACCCAAACAAAAACTCAAGAGCATATGAGAACATGGTTCGTGCTATACCTCTCTTCTACAGATAAGTCACACTTATCTTTACTTAATATATCGTGACAGCAAACATTTGGTGTTATACTTCTGTTCGACAAAAAAAAAGTATAAGTAATATTATACTAACTGATAAAAAAAACACTTACACCTGCAAACGTAACCGTTAATCGAAATTATATGATATTCTCTGACAGTGACCAACAAGAATGAATGATGGCGACGATTCCTCCAACGAAGAAAAGATATTCAATGAGAACCTTGATAAATACAGAGTAGATTTTCAATATTTAAAATAAACAACATTAACATTGGATTATTGCTCTAACGAGGGAACCTCTCGAGATGACACCTTCCGTTTTGATTCATTCATATCTCATTTGATAGAGTATACTGATGTAGTAAAAAGTCTAAAATGGCTTCTACCCATAACTCTTCCTTCAAAACTTATGACCTTTTTTGCTGCATCTTTAATCCATTCCTAGGGGGCATTACACGTAAGCCACGATCACCCTTGCTCAATCGAATCTAACCGATGTTGTTCCTATTTCTACAGTAGATATAGACATATTTGCTGAACATAAATTGACAGTTTTAGATCTAATGGATCAGTTATTCAGGAGATATAGGTGTTGCAAGTACTAGGGCACATCTAAATTTCTCCTTTTTCATAGTGTAATATGTTTTTTAGTGGGGTTTCATTTTCTAAACAACAATCAGACTTACCACAACGAACATTTTAATAGAGGTGTTATCGATATTGAGCTACGTTTTCATGCCATTGGAAGTTTCTTATCACGCAATACTTTTGGTCGAGCTTCACGTACTATATTCAGAAAGTCTAATTTCGCAAATCAGATGAATTGATCACATCAGTGTGATACAATATTCTGAAATTAGTCTCATTCGAAAGAGAACACCGGCATGCATAGAATGGCGTCCTCAAAAAATTGGCTAATTGCGTTCCAGTAGCAAAATATTTTTAAACACGAAAAAAAAACATCAAAAATTCCGCATCATTTTAGCTACCACAAAATATCTTTCCTCATGCAATGTTCGATTATTGTACTCAGACTGAAAGCCGACGACGAAAAACCTCTAAATTCAAAATTTTACCTTGTTTGAACTTACCATTGAAAAATGACAAAATATTGATTTTTCTGTATCTTATTGAATCGTATTCAATTCAATCAATTTGTCTGCACACTTTTCCAGAGAATATTTCCTTATAAAAAACTCCTTTCAAATATCTAGTATTACTGTTAGGTGATCACTCAAGAATGTTCAAAGCTGTTAAAAGGATTTTTAATATTGATTTTTGTCATTAATATATCGTGATTTTGTTCGAGGGTATGGGTGTGCGTGTGGGTGTGGGTGTGGATGGGGTGTGGGCGTGGGGTGTGGGTGTGGGTGTGGGTGGGTGTGGGGTGTGGGGTGTGGGTGTGGGTGTGGGTGTGGGGTGTAGGTGTGGGGTGTAGGTGTGGGGTGTAGGTGTAGGTGTAGGTGTAGGTGTAGGTGTAGGTGTGGGTGTGAGTGTTTTTGTTCACCTTATTCAAACTCACACCCCACACCCAAATCGGCACCCACACCCACACCCACACCGACACTCCACACCCACACCCTCATATTCACTCGTTGGTATAAAGTTAAAAGACGGCTATAAGATGTGTTCGCAATTAGAACAGATCATTGTCTCACTTTTGTGATATGATTTTCATGATGAAAACTAGGAAAGCAATTGATATTGGATAGGAAAAGATATCTGTGCCAACAGGTGTACAGCTATAACAGGGTATCATTTCAGATCCTATCAGTCTCATGTGATATTATCCTTGTGTGATATCATCCCTGTACAATAGTACGATTATCGATGAATGCATTACACATTGTCGATGTTCTGTATAAAGGAGAAATCCCCATTACGTATATGCGCTTCATTCCACTTCATATTCAAGTCATTACAGTATCTCTGATGAAAGAAGAGAAGAATGAAAAGTCAATGAAGTGCACATTAGATTCAGTGTCCCAATAAAGAAAAGAAAACATGTAACGAAATACAAAACCATCGAAAATTCGTTACAATATCAAAAGTAAATCATTCACGGAACGAAATCCGAGTTAAACTCCATTTACAATCAATTCATCAAGTAAAGAAAAAGCGAGGATGTCACGATGAGACGGCAGCTTTCGTATTTCTGTGTGTAGATAGAGTAGTCGATTTTTCCTTCTCTTTCCTCTGTAAATTGAAAAGTTGCATTTTAGCAAATCTTGTTTGTCGAAATTCATTTGAATATGCTGTTGATGGTAGAACAAACAATACAAAACCTAATAATTGTGGCAGATAGGAGAATAAGTAAGCAGCACACAAAAGATGCTTTTGCCACGGCAGTAATATTGTACAAGAAAAAGTTGATGAAATGATGATTTGTGGTAAAGCACTAAAGACAATGATCGATAGTGTAATGTAAAGTTCCTTTTGAGTGTTGAATTGTTGTCTGAGAATGGTGAAAAATCCATCATGATTGCTGGTCGACCGAGAACGACTTCGAGCAACGAACACAATGAGAATTGTAATGGAATTAACTTGGATAAAGAATGGAACTAGATGTTGAACCAGTACATTAACGAAATTATATGATGAAAGTAATAAAGGAAAATTGGCTATGCACATCACCTGTTCATTTTGATCTTTGGTGATATTGAAGAAGATCAGTTCATGACAATGCATTCCAACAACAACAATCAGAGTGATAATAATCATCACTATTGCTGATTGAGGTTTTCTTAGACGATCACTGAAAGGAAAAAGCACCGAACATACTCGTTCGAGAGTGATCCAACTGGTCAACCAATAAGTGATTCGAGTAGACACAGATAACATGAAGGAGAATGCTTTGCACGAATCACTACCCAACAGTGAATCGAAGAAAATATCTATCATTTTGAGAAGAAGTGCTAGGAGAGCACATTGGCTGAAGATTGACAAAATTAGAAGGTAGTTACCCACACCGAACTTGCGAGGAGTCGATCGACTGAATGTGATAAAACTGCCATAATTCGTCAGTCCAGCAATCGAAAACATCAATGCACTCAGAATCAAATATATCGCCTGAACATTTCGACTATCTTCGCCAATTAATGAATCCAGAGTAAAACTAAGGTGTCGATAACTGAACTGACAGAGCTCACCAGAATAACATTGAGGACACATACACATAAAATCCTTTCGTTTTGACAGATCTCCTCTTACACATCGAGCACCAGCCAAACAGTGAGAACACTGATCAAGAGAATGATCGTATCCGAAACATTCTGCTTGACTATGAGTTAAATCACAAATACATAAATACCACTTATCCATAAAACACAACAATCTCTTCCTCCGTCGACAAAGATCATGATATTGAATTGGAGAAATTTCTAAACATAATCACATCAAATCTTTGTTTTGTATATTTCAACAAACAGACCTGTCTCATTTGTCAACAGTGTGTTGACATGCGAACAGCGAGTTCTCTCATTCACTTGTGTTGTTCCATTGATCGATTCAACCTGAATTTGCAGTGAGATTAGATATGTATCGACTTGACCATCCGAGTAGAGTTTGACAACAATAAGAGCTGGTGCTTTTGCTTTTTTGTGTGGATAAAATAGAGAAAGAGGAAGACGAGAGTAAAGATGTTGATGAACAGGAATCAGGTCAAGAATGAAGAAGTTGATATCGAAGTATTGCACGAGAGCCACTTGATGATCAACACTCTCATTGATCCAAAGGTGAACTGTCCGCTTTCTCAGTTGACACTCGTTTCCATAGTACTCTTCTGTACAGAAACACAAATAGTTGCTCAGGTCCGATGTTGGCAAACAGGTGCCGCTATTGAAACATGGGTTCGGATCACATAAATCATGCTCTAACTGACAGCGATGGCCAAGTCGATTCAGTGGACATATACAATAGGGCAGCCGCTCATTTCCATTTAATAATTCTCGATAGTTAAGTTTACACAACGCCTTCGCCCCACAGAAACCATCTTGACATCGTTGTTCTTCTATCGAGTAGTCTGTCTCGCCAAAGTTTCCTGAACAAAGACAGATGAAACGCGATGGTTCGTTGAGAATTTGATGACATTCTTGTTTATCTCCACAAGGGTTACTAATGCAAGGACTCCTAGTGCTGGCAAGTTTCGTTAGATGAAGAACTTTGGCCAATCGAAAATTAGGAAGAAAATCAAAATAGATTGGATATACCCATACACCGACAAGTTGAGGCTGTTTATCCCAACCAAGTTCATAAGCTTCGATGCGCACTGAATAAGGATGGTGATCGATGATATTCGATCGATTGAAATATCGAGCTCGTCTCTTAATCAATGAATCATTCGATCGAGAGTACAACAGATGATGCATTGTCTTCTTTATAAGAGTCATTTCAGTAGCTGGTCGAATATGAAATGATTCAATCATCACCGGTTCATCTTCATCTAAGAGAATGATCAAGAGTTTCAGAACGGTTGTCAGATTGTTTGGTCCTTCATAGATTGATTGCGAGAGATTGAGATGAAAAAGAACAGTCAATCGATCACTGTGATACTGACATTTGTCACCATAGTATTGTGGTGGACAGAAACACACTATGGATCTATTGGATAGAAAAGCACCAACACCACGATTACACCAGAAACTAACTGGTAAAATGTTATCTGCTGATCGATAGCCGTTGCTGATTGAGGCATTGGATGACGTTACGATTTTTACTGAGTGAGTTTCTATGTCGTCAACCATTGAGGGAAACTGTGGCACATGAAGCATATCTTGCTCTAATTCTAATTGAAGTTGTTTGCTCTCTCGATAAAATATCAAGTCA